ACATTGATCTTTGTGGATTTGACAATCTTTTATATTATTTCAATATTTATGTGCACTTGCGGACGCATCAAGCCATCACTACTTATATCAGTCATTAATTTTAGGATCTTCATCTCTTTCCGCTAGGAAGATAAGAAAACAAAAATTATCAATCACCCTTGTTTGTATGCTCAAATTGATTAAAATACTCTACCGGAAATATGTTTCCAATAAAATGCCATATTTTTGGAGGGTCAGCAAAACAATCATCATAAGAAAAATCTAGGACTATTGATGTAGAGGATTTTTCTAGGGCATTTAATGACTTCCAGTGAAACTATAACTCTTCACTACAAGAAAGGATTTCTCAACATCTTCAACATAGTAATAAACTCTCCACAATGTAGCATTATCCTGCATAAAGTCAGTATTTATAATGTTAATCGATTGTTATAATGCTCAACACAAATATTTTGTTGATTAGGAAAAAGAACAAAGTTTTATAATACCTCTTTTATCAAATCAGCAAATATTTTGTCGCAACTTTGTTCTTCTATTGGCCGCCTACTTCGACAAATTATCTCCACCACCCGGTCCATAGAAAGCTATTGATTTAAATATTAATAAATAAAAAATTATTAATTATTTATTTAAATTTTTATATTATTAAATAATTTAGTTTGAGTTTTTCTATTTTCTCTTATATTTTGTCTTTATTTTGTAGGTTCTCTTATTAAAATTTTATTAATATTAAATATTTCTTATAATAATGTGTGTATCATAACAATATCCGTGCGAATATACGAATATCTAGATCATTAATTTAAGATACAATGCACGTATTATATTATTAATGTTTTTATTTTGAAATTAATTTTAATTTAAGATACAATAATTTTTAAGATAATATATAAAAAAATGAATTATATGTTATTAATCGCAAATGTTATTTTTTAAATTAAGGAATTAATCTTAATATTTTTATAAATAATATAACATTCATCAAAATATTTGTATATATGACAAATAATATTTATAATTCATATATAAATTAAAATATGTATTTTTCTTAAAAATAATTAAAAAAAATTGGTAACACACTAATACCCGTGCGAATTTACAGATTATTATATTTTTTGTATAATTAAAAAAAATATTTGAAAAATGTATGAATTCGAACACGGGAAAAAACCAAATTATTTTATAATTATTTATGTTACTAATATTTTTATGTTAAAATTAGTTTTAATTTAAGCTACAATATTTTCTAAGATAATATGTGAAACATTGAAATATGAATTATCGATGGAACACAATTTTGGTAAAACAAATTTATTTTTATTTTAAAAATATATCTTTTTTTTAAATAATAAATTATTTTGGTAAAAAAAATTTGTTTTTCTTATTTACATTTTTATTACAATTTAAAAACAAACAAGTACCGTATGAACGCACGGGTAATCATATCAGAATTCGTGTGTACCTATGGGTTACTATTTTTTTTTTATAATTAAAGAAAATAAAGATAAAAATATTTAAAAATGTGTTGTTTTTAAATTTTTTATATTGCTAATATTTTTATTCTGAAATTATATTTATTTTAAAATACAAAAAAAATAGTCGCAAAGCCCTAATTGCTTGGAAAAAGGTTTGCAAACCGAATCGTTATGGTGGTTTGAATCTGGTTGACCTTTAGATGTGGAACTAAATAACTTTGTTGAAGTTTTTGTGGAATCTTATTGGAAAATCGGACAATTTATGGGAGAGATGGGTGCACACGTACTATTTCAAACATCAAAATATTATGGATGCTAAAGTGACAAACAATGCGTCCTGGATCATGAAAGATGTGTTGAATCAAAGAGATGAGATCACACATATTCAAACCTAGAAGGATATGCTGCAGCAAAACAGATTCTATATGGTCAAAATATATTAGAATTTGCAGAAAAATATGCAACCTTTATCGAGGAAGACCATGTTTTATGAGAATTTGGCTAGACCAAGAGCAAAAGTTACACTTTGGATGGCATGTAATACGCGTCTGACAACTAAGTCTAGACTGTATCAGTATGGTGTGGTACAAAACTCCAAGATCTCCTTCTTTGCAGAAGATGAAACGCAAACCCACCTTTTGTTTGACTGTGTGGAAACCAAAAAAAAATCTAGCTGAAAGTCCTTGATTGGCTACAAATCCCTCATATTGCAAGTGGTTGGGATCAAGAACTTGAATTAATTGTCAAGAACACTAAAGATAAAGGGCCCCGAGCTAAAATTTTGAAGCTTGCGGCTACGGAGAGCACATACGAGGTTTGGAACTCTCTGAACAATATTTGTTTTGTTAGTGGTGTACATACACAGAAAATTGAGGAAAAAGTCATAGACATGATAGTTTATAGAGGGTGGACACATCACAAATTACGTCAACACTTAGTTAAATTGATGTTTTAAAATTAGTATCTTTATTTTTTTGTCGGGTTTGATCTTTTGAGCTGGATCATGGTGATCGCTTTTCTATATTTGTTTTTGAATTAATCAAAATTTCTATTCATTAAAAAAAATACAATATTTTTTAAGATAAAGAAAATTGAAATATATCTCATTGATGTAAAACAATTTTAGTAAAACAATATATTTTTTATCTTAAAAACATATCTTTTTTTTTAAATAATAAAGTCTTTTGATAAAATAATTTTTTTTTTTTTTATTTACATTTTTATTACAGTTTAAAAATAAAAGCGTGTGTATCATACTATTATCTGTGTGAACATACAGATATCTCACTAGTTAGTTATGATAATTAGAGTGCATACTTAATTGGAATTTTGTTGATTACCGGTAGTCCAAGTAAAAACTTTATATACATTCTCTTCTTCTACTCAAATATCATCTCTTTTCTTCGATACATTCATTCTAATCAAAGATGCAAAGTGCATGGGTATAAAGAACAAAGCTGAAAACTATTTCGAATACCTCATTCGTGTGCTTGTGTGATTGAGAGCTTTAGTTTTATTCCAACAAGACGTTCCATATTTTTAACTATTTATTATCATGTGCATACCCTTATTACAATTATTCTCACCCTTACCTTAATGGATGTTTTACCATAAGATGGATTTTGGCACACCTAGGTAACAAAATATAAGCCTAGAACTCCAAACAAATAAATGAGATTATAATCACAATTTAATAGCAACTCTAAACCAATAAGACAAAAGAGGTAGAACACCAACAACTTATTTTAAGAGAAGAATTCACTAAGCACGATATATTGGCAAGTTTTCTAACACTTTAATTGAAAAGTATGAATGGAGGATTGAGGAGATAAATTAGAACTTTATATTGAGGGGTCTTAAAAGTTCTATTGGTGCCTAAACTCTAAACAATCGGATATACCAAAAGATTCCTTAAACTCTTTATTTTTGTTATTTTTCACTCAATTGTTTTGATTTTGATTCATTCAATGTCAACTATTTAAGAAGGTTCCATCTCTAGTAGAAGGCAAACTGACATTTCAAATTTTCTTGTTTTTTGATTGACATCAATCCTTTTATTGACCTTGGAGTTGGTATCCTTAATTAATTGTTAGGAAAGCTTCTATTCTATCAATTGTATGAAGAGTTCAACTTTTTTAAGAGGGTAGATGGCATGGTTGCTTAAAGCTTTCACATATATTTTTGGTTTGTTTCCTTTCTTAAGGACATATACAAACGGACTAAAAACTTCATATGATTAGGTGATATCATTTATAGGTTTTAACCTAGTAATGTCGTTTGTCATAAATATTGTGCTTAATGAAAAGGCTTGGCATTAGGTCAATAAGAGATGCTAAGAAGAAAGCTACTTTAAAACTAGGCTGATATTTTGTTTCATCAAATCAACAATAGGCTACCTTTTTGAGAAACAATGACCTTAACATATCTTATATTCTTCTTCCATTTGAAAAGGGATCAAATCTTTCCCTTATTGTTATTAATGATAAAGTTTCTAAGACCAATCTTTTAATACCGCTTAAAACCACTATAATAGCTATTCAATAATTATAATATTTACAGTGTAACTAAAGCTAGAAAATGTTATTTTCGCCAAGGACGAATCGTTCGGATATTTTAATTTTTGATAAAATTAAGACTTGATCAATGAATCGTTTATCTAAACCATAAAATCATATTAGTCGATTCATTATCTGAATCAAAACTTATTAACTAAATTAAAAAAGTCAGAAAATATTATTAAATATATTTTTATTTTATTTTTTAATTTTGGATAAGTAAATTAATAAATATTTAGTGAATACCCGTATACACAATATATAAATATATATATATATATATATATATATATATATATATATATATATATATATATATATATATATATATATATATATATATATATATATATATATATATATATATATATATAGATATTAGATGGATACATAAATGTATGTTGCCAAATATCATATGGTTGGATCATGAGTTAGTTATTTTATATTGTGGTCCTGTTGACAACATCAATATCACGGGTTGGCAAGAGCAAATAACCGAAAATGGCATGTGGGGTAATGTCACATGTAATTGCCACTGTCAACTTCAAAGCTTGACCCTTTGAATTGGGTCCACAATAAACAAATAAAAACCACAAAAATTTTCTCGCATAAGATAAATTTACTAACACCAAATCAAAACATTGCTGCCTCCAAATTTGAAATTTGAATATCATACATTATACAAACTAATAAATTCATAATTTAGTCCATTTTATTTATAGCTATAGAAAGCTAATGATAACCATAATGCTAGAAACTAAGTGTCACAAACTAACTTAATCAAGGACTAATAACAAAGGTTATATAGTATAGCCCTTTTTCCTTAGTCTACAAACCAAATTAAACCCTACTCAGATAAGAGAATAACAATAAAGTGAGACAAGGACATGCACAATACAAACAAATTCAAGAGTAGTAGTAATAGTAGTATATTAATATAATATAGATAGATATATATAACTAGACACTATTACATAAGTAAGCTCCTAATAATAGCTGCTTGAGCACTGTTGGAATCTGTAGTTGCCAAAAGTTGTGACAATCTTTCACTTAAATCATCAACTTCTCTATGCAAGTTTTTTATGTAGTTGCAAGTCTCTTGCAATACCTTAGAAGCTGAAACCTACAACACCATCAAACATTAATCATTTTTTTAGCTATATACACACCCACTTGTAGCTAGCTATACAAGCTAGCAATTAATGTAATACTACAACTTGTTTGTTTCTAAAGAATTTTCAGAAAGAGTTATAATATATTAAACGTTGCTTATCTCCTACAACAAACAATGGCCACACAAAAATGTGTAATGTGTCATTCTTATTATGCATGTGATGATGACTTTTGAAATTTGTAAAAAAAAATTGTATCATTAAATCAGGTATCTTTAGCATGAAACTACATAATACAAAGGTAGAAAAATGAATACCTTGTTGGAGCGGGTAGCGCGAAGTTCGGGGATGAGTTGTTGTAACTTGGAGATGAGATCAGTGATTTGAGCATCAGTGATCTCAGAGGAAGCACCGGATTGTCTAGAACGGGATCTTCTGCTAGACATTGTTGTTGTATTAAGGTTGTAGTAACTTTGTGTCAGAAACACTTATACTTGATGATGTTAATTGGTGTAGCAACCTTATAATTTGTAGTAGAGAGAATTATTTGGTTGGTTGTGAGAGAGATTGTGTGAAGGGAGAAATAAATAAAAGTGGTTATATTGTTTATTTTGTATTGTTTGTTGATATGAAGGAGAGAAGAGAAGTGAGGGAGTGGGTTGAAATGAAGAGGACAATTGCATGGGAGAAAGAAGTGGGCTATGGTTGTTATTAATAGAGAGAATGGAAATGGGAGAGATAGGGAGAGATAGAGAGAGAGGGAGAGAGAGAGTGAGAGATTAGGCCATACTGTCCTTTCTGAAAGTGTCCCCTAAATAGGGTTAGTGTTCAAGTGGCTTAAGAAAATTGTGCTTGTTTATCGGCCTACGATGTGGGACCTCTTTGTGTCAGTCACACCACGCAACCCCATGTTATACTTCTTCCCATCATTTTATAATTATTATTTTCATTATTCATATCTTTCTTTTCTAAGTATTCTCTATTTGCAAGATACTAGTACTCTCACAAATATGAGTAGAAAGTTTATTATATGTATTATGTATTATAGAAATGTTTATTTGAGTTGGTTTATGGTGGTCATCTTAATTGCTCAAGTTTCAAAGCTAAGAGAATCTTTAGTAAGAATTGGATTAATTGATAGAGATCAATGTTTTGATACACACTTTGTGATGTTAGACTTATGTGATACAAATTTAAATACTCCTTTGAGATGTCTTTGTCATAGATGCTCTAAGAGAACACTAAAGAATATTCATAACAAAATTCTCATATCAATAACTACAAGAATTGAATCAAGGTGGACTACTTTAATAGGAAATAAATATAATATTTCTTTCATTTTTAAATTTTTAAAAGTGTGAGCTACTTATATTTGTGAGGGAGATTATAAGAATCAAGTGTAAGAGATTAAATTTTAAATCGACTAGAAATGAAAAAAATGTTGGATTTATAAAAGAATAAATTCATGTTTTCATTGCTAAAGATTTTGAATGGTTATATATTATTAAAGTCTCTTGAATCCTGAATATTTATCCCATCAACACTTTTGTTATTTCCCGAATTTTACAATAAATGATATCAAAGTCATGGTTAACTTGGTGAGAAAACAAAATTGAAATCCTAACATAGTTCTAGACCAGTAATCTGGATAACAGAATATTTGGTTTATAAAAAATTATTATTATTATTTTTTTAAGTTTTAGATAAATATATAGTATCAAAATCTTTTGACATTTCCAAGACTCCTATACTTCTCAACACTAAGCTTCATTAATTAGATCTAAAGATAGTGATGAATTCTTTAATAGAAAGCTAAATTTTGAATTTGGAGAGAACTTGTTTTTCTCTTTTTCCAATATATTCCTTTTAATAATTCAACTAAAAAATAATCTCACTTTCCTTCATTTCCCTCAAAATGAACAAACTCTAAGTATCTTACAAGAAATTAATTAATTTCGTAACAGATCTATAAAATCTAAGTTTGTGTAAGTAACTTAGAGAATTGCATCATACCAAATATATCATCACATTAAGAAAAAATAGTGTCAGACAATTTTTAATTTAAATAATAATTTAATCACCAAACGTTAATGTAGAAGGGGCCGGTTCCAAGTTAACTAGGTTGTATCTGCTTGATTAGTTTTTACTATTATTAAAATCTGCTCGACTAGTTTACAATATTAATTTGAGATTAAGTCTCTAACATTATTTGTTTATTTTCTATATAAAACTCTCTAACATTACTATGATAAATATTTCATAATAATTGTCATATTTAATATTTTTGTAAAATTAATTACTTTTCATTTTTAATTAAATTTTAGTTATTTATTTTTCAGTTGTATCATCTAGTTAATTTGTATGCATTATTTTCAAGTTATTATTCTCTACTGATCATAAATATATATTTATAATTAATATAAGTGATTAGACAAAATTCTTTTTTTTTTTATTTATTTATTTTTTAAATCTAGACGTAATCCAAATGATAAAAGGAGACTAATGTTTCTTCAATGAATGATTCTAGTTATATTAGGAAATTAAGAGATGGCTATTTACTTTTACTCGTTAAGAGGTGTTTATTTAATTATTTAATTATGATTGAGACTGATAAAATTAATATTTTTAAAAAAGACTATTTTATTATCTAATGTAAAAAATTTTAACACAGTCAATACTTCCTAACTATGCATAATTATTACTTTTGTCATAGGTAAAGTAAAGTCAGATATATTTTAAGGTTTAATGTAGAGTTCTTAAAACTGACTACTCTGTCCTAAACATATCGGCTCTATCACCCTAAAACTTTTTAGAATAAAGTTTAAAAAATTTATTATAATAAAAATAAATATAATATAAGAAATAATATTTAATGAAATGTGATAAATCAATGTGTAATTTTTAAATGAAAAAAATATAAATATTAAGCAATGATGCAATAATATTAACAGCGAATACAAAGATATTCGAAACCTACTCAACGAACATCATACAGTCTATCAAGCAGAAAAAAGATTAACAATTCTAACAACAAGCTATCGGAAAATTAAATCAGTCATACAAAATCATACAATTGATATTTCGTCTACAAATCCAACTCCAAGTTAATAATTTGATTGACGTAATAATGTCATCAACATTACAAAATTTCTCCTGAAATAAAATACTATTTCTAGCTAACCAAATATCCCAAACTTTTGATAGCGATACCAAATCTTTCAAGCCAACAAGAAAAAAACTTTTTAGCCTAGTTGCTTGGTAACAAAAGCATTTTTTGGGATTAAAATCCTTATAAGCTTATGTCCACTCCCAAATCCACTTCAAATTATGCATCAATGTTGTTCAAAATCTTGATATTAACTGCACAATGAAACAAAACATGATTGAGATTTTCATAATTTTTTTTTAGAATAACCAAGTATTGAATTTTTTTTCCGCAAATAACCATGTTTCGGAAAAAATTACGCAAATAACCATGTTTCAGATGACTCCCCAAAGGAGGAGCCATCTCACTTGACGCTTCCACTATGCATTTAGCCCTAGGCGCCATCTCACTTGGCGCCTCCTCTCTCTTTTAGCCAAGTGAGATGGCGCATGCACTACAAAAGTGAGAGGAGGCACCATCTCACTTGGCTTCTAGGGCAAAATGTTGTTTTTTTTATAAATAATCCGTCTGTTTCTCCGTCATTTCTCACACTTTTCACACTGTGTTTTCTTATTTTTTACTCTGTTATTTGCGTCATGACATCGCCCATGGTTTTTACCAGAGATGGTTACGTTATCTTCTCCGCCACAAAACCTGCGATGAAAATCAAATTCTGACACATTCACTCCATGGAGCGTCTGAAGCGGGAGTTGATGCGATGGCTAGATGGAGACATCGTGGAGGGGGGAAAATTCGAAGGATCCAGCGAAGACGAACAACAACCTCACATGCGACAGGAAGACCTAATGTTTGGTTGGAGGAAGTCAAAACAGACAACGACGTAATATTGATGATGCACGGGTCAGATGATATTGTTTTAACAGTTGTAATTTCGTAGACGAAATATCGTGTTTTTTTCTTGTACGCGCAATGTTTATTGTAACAAATACTGTTAACGAAAAACCCTACTGTTTACAACATAATAAAGGAAAGATTTTATGTAATACAATTTTTATGTGGTCGATGCAGTAGCCCGATTCGGACAATTTTTGCGATTGTGCCCGACCTGGCGATATAAACCACACTTTCTTTCCAGCTTGTCAAAGGAGTCCATTTCGGTTGTGATGCGCTTACTTTTGGGATGACCCTTTTTGTTCCGTCGCATTTGGTCATTGTGCCATACTATTTCGCCGTCGTATGCAGGCCAATAATCTGGTTTTGCTACCAAAGGGAAGTTGTTGTTGTAAACGTTGAGCAACGTTTCAGATTTGTAAATGTGTGACAGAAGTTGTAGCGCGTCTTGATGAGTATAGGCACACGCGGCAATGACATGAGAGCAAGGCATACGAAAGGCTTGAAACTTGCCACAATCGCACCAACGAGAAGGTAGTACAACCCTATATTCTTGTCTTGGCAGGCCCTCGTTGTGGTCGATTGTCTCTTTTACAATGAAGTTGTGGCTGTGTCGGTCAAACCGTATAACCATATGAGTGTTGGCTTTGGCACTTTCTGCCTTAATGTACTCCATGCAGCTTTCACTCCATAGTTGTCCAGATTGCAACACCGCATTCCATATTTCACCTCTTTTGGAAAACAACGAAGCCATCCTAAAATACGTAGATTTTACCAAAGCAGTGACCGGGAGGTTTCGTATGCCTTTGAATACCCCATCCGTCGATTCAATTAGATTTGTTGTCATGTGCCCCCATCTTTGGCCATTGTCGTATGACCTAGTCTATTTTTCTACCGGAATATTGTCGATCCACCTACAGACTTCTGGATTTGACAAACGGATCTCGTAGCGGTAATATTTGAATGTAGGTTGTGTCAATGCATATCCCGCATTCATAACCGCTTTCCTTAGTGTTTTGTCTTTGATCTCCCTCGTGAAATTTTGGACGATATGTCTAACGCAATAGACATGCATAGAAGGAGGGTCATGCCAACCGTTTGCAGGATTATTATATACACTTTCAATGGATGCATGTCTATCTGAGATCAAACAGAGATCTGGTTGAGGAGCCACGTGTGTTCGCAGATTTTTCAAAAAAAAGCTCCAAGCACCACCAGTCTCCCCCTCGACTAGGGCAAAGGCAATTGGGAAAATGTTGTTGTTGCCATCTTGTGCAACTGCCATCAGTAGCGTGCCTTTGTATTTCCCATACAACCAAGTCCCATCAATTTGTATAATTGGTTTGCATGATGCAAACCCTGTGATGCAAGGTTGAAATGCCCAAAACACTCGACTGAATATTCCATTTCCGTTGAGTTGACTACCATCTGGGGCATATGCTGGCACTGTTTCCAGAATGTAAACACTACCCGGAGAATAAGTCTTGAGTGAGTCCAGGTAGCGAGGAAGTTCTTGGTATGACTCCTCCCAGTTTCCGTATACTTTTTCAATCGCCTTGGTCTTTACTAACCACGCCTTACGGTAAGACGAAGTATAGTTAAAAATCGTAGTGATGTGGGAGATGATGGTTTTCACCTTCAAAGATGGATCGTTGCTGACGAGTGGTAGGATTTCTTGACAAATGAGATCGTAATTAAGTTTTTGATAATCCTGTGATTGAGTAGAACTGACACAAGTGTGGGTAGACATGGAACCTATGACTCAAA